TCATGAAGGGAAGCAGGACAGGAACTACAGACAGGAATGAGCAGAAACACAGAGGAACACTGCTTCTGACTTTCTTCCTATGGTTTGCTCAGCTTGTTCTTTTGTACCACCCATAGAGAGCTGTACCCTCACACATCAATTATTAGCCAAGAAAATACCTCTGTAGACATGCCCATAGGACAGTCTGAAGGAGGCAATCCGCCAATGGGGATTCCCTCTTCCCAGATATGTCTAGGTTTGTGTCAAGTTGACAAAAAGCAACCATCACGGGATCAAGCTAAATACATCTGGAGTGAAGACAACTTGGTCCCTCTAAGTGTTGCTCATCCACACATCTTCCTGTACCATAGCTATTGCAGTCATTGGTTGCTTTCTTCTGTAACCACCCATTTATCAGGCTTTGCTTCTTCCAATTCTGTTCTTGGTTCAGTCATGGGTATGACTTTAATCAAATCTCAGAAGTCATGAAGAGCTCCATGTTAAGGCTGTCAGGGGGGAAGGATCTTCCTAAAGGGAAGAGGAAATTTTGCTTTATTATGTAGGCTGCTCATTTACACCTATGATCGCCTGGCACCTGTGTCCGAGTGAAACAATCCAGTGAGTGTATGAGTGGGCAGAGAGCCACTCTAGCAGATGGTCATGAGAGCAGGGCCCAGGCACTGTACGATCATCAAGTGTGCTTGCCCAGGCCAAGAGCCCCTGCCAGAAAGGGCCAAATGCTGTCCTTAGAACTGAAGTCTTATTTTAGCAAGGATGCCTAAAGTAGGGAAGAAGGCCAGGAAACAATGGAACAGAAGAGAAACAAGGCATGGTAGTAGGGATCTTCTGGGAATTGCTGTTTGGTCATGAGGTTCTCACTGTGCAAGCTTTTCCTTGAGTTGACAGCTTGCTGGCAATAAGGCAGTGTGAGTGTGGAGGTTCACCGTGTTTGCACAGAAGCTGTGTCCTGGGCTCATTGCTTTGTCAGTCATGATGGTTCTGGAAACACCTGAGGCAAGACAAGGCCAATCTCTATGGCTCACCTGTTCACAAATAGGAGTAACAGCAGCTTAGCAGGCAGTTAATCTGGGAGCCTTGCCGAGACCCTGGCAGGAAGGCCTTCATTGCCAGTTCCCCTGCCTTCCTCTGGCAGCTCTGAAGCCCTTGGTTCAGATTGGCATCACTCATCTTCTTTCCAGAGAGTCTGATGCCTATGCAACATGTTTGGATAACGTAGATGCTCATAGTGACAGAGGTTTTTTTTTTTCCTTAAAAAATCAGTCACAATTGCTCTTTTATAAGCACACATTTGTCCCTCTTGTTCAGCCTTCCTTTGTGAATCTTCTCTCATATTGTAATATATTATATGGTGCTAGAAATGAATCAACAATTAAAACCAAATCCTAGCATTCACAGCCTTTTGACACTTAGCAATAAAGGAAAACCTTAGTAACAGGAGATGAGGCAAATGTGTAAACGCTACCTGGAACTAAGATAAAATCCTGTAGGAGATAAGGAGATGTCAACATATCACTTATCATCTTTCGGTGGCTTCCACTATGCCTATAAGGGCAGTGTCTTATTAATGCTGTCTTCCTTGTACAATGTACGACCTGAATACTTAGAAAATATAGATGAGTCAAGTGGAATGAAATAGAAGTCTCCTTACATTTTGTCATGTATAGACAAGCTGTATCTCTTGTTCTGAGTTATAAACTTTCATCATTTGTCTGTGTGCATGCCATGCATACAGACATCATAAAATATAATTAGGTACTATTTTGCAATTTACTTTTTCTCAGTGAAATCTTACCTTGTCTTCTTAGTATTCAAGGAAGTGAAAGTCAGAAAACAATAAAGAGAGAAGGCTGTTGCCTTAAAGTTAAATTTGTTTTCCCACCTGAAATAAAAAAAGATTTTCTAAGGCTGGAGTGATTAAGACCACTGGGTGCTCTTCCAGAGGACCCATGTTCAATTCCCAGCAGTTACATGGCAGCCTTCAACCCTCTATAACTCCCATCTCAGGGGGATCTGACACCCTCTTCTGGCATGCACATGACGCACAGAAAGACACTCACACAAAAACCCATGCACACATATGTAAAAATAAAATAGATAAAAAAGCATTTCTAAGCCAGATGTATGAAGTTTTCCCAGTAATTTTGAAACATTACAGCTCCCGTCCTTATTCTGCTGCAGTGGGAAAATCATTTGTTCACAGAAAGCAAAAACTTTCATAGTGACAGAAGAAAATCCCATTGTTTATGGTTTATGTATGTCATATGGACCAGTATTATCAAGTTTAATGTCTAAGTTAGCAGGCAGAACCGCCAGATTTATTTGCTTTTTTATCACCTTATCTATTTATATTTAGGTTCTACCTCCTATACCTCCTTCCCAGTTCCTCTCAGCTCCCTCTCAAATTCATGGCCTCTTTCATTTATTGTTTTTGCATACATGTGTCTATAGTAACATGAATTAACATATAAAAACAACCCACTGAATTCATTTTGTGTTGCCGATAGATACATATGTTCTTATGCCCAGTCACTGGGTACTGGATAACCAGTTAAGGGGTTCATCATTGGGGAAGACCAGATCTCCAGTTCTCATCAGTCATTTGATGTTTAAAGGCTTGAAAAGAAGATCCTGTGGGATATTTAATGAAGCTAAAGGTTGGTGGCACCTGTACATCGATGTAACACTGTTCCTTCCTTTGGCCAGGATGCAACAGGTAACATGTGGGGTTGCATATTTCTACTCAGATAACAATTCCTAGGCTGTAGAAAAAAATGTATAGGAACTTGTGTAAATCAGGGAGTCAAAATAAGATTTTAGGATGGGAAAAACCTGTTTGCTTGAAAAATGAAGGGGAGAAGTTTGCAGAGGAAGTTCAGTTTGTACTCAAGGACCCACTTGATGATGGGGTGAGTTTTGGAGAAGCAATGGACTGATCCATTCCTATACAGTATACTGGAGCATACAAACATCTCAGAGGAGAGACAGGACACTATTCACCCCAGTTGTTTCACTCATCTCAGTTGTGCTAGATGGCTTTTTATCACTGTGACCTGAGAGGAATGGTTTAGAAGGCGAGTGACAAATTTTGGGACTAAGTCTTTCAATCCCACACTACCACCTGCACCTCAGTGCTGTGGGCTGGTGAGGAGTGGGGCCAGCTCTCCCATGAGGGGGCAGGGACCAGCTCTCCCGTGTCCAGCCCATGTTCCTTAACATGGCTTCAGGCATCAGCCCAGATTTCTGGCATCTGCATGGGCTTCAGCAGTAACATGAGCTACAGACATCAACAAGGCTCTTGGCAATATCAGGATCTCTGACCCACTTATGGTCCTCACAGTGGCTGCACTGATCACAAGCCTCAACATGGTCGCAGGTGGTTGGTTACACATGCCACTCACATTAGCATGGCTCCCCAAGGCAGCAAAGCTGGAGGACATCACCGAAGCTTTGGGCAGCAGAACAGATTACATATGTCCACGTGGATCTCAAGCTTCATCACAGTCTGGGGAAGCAGCATGGCCCACCGACACCAAAATGGCTCTTTTTTTCTAGTTTTCCCTCCTTTTCATCACATATTTGTTCTTTGTAGTGGCATACCCTGACTGGGGCTTGCTTGGGTGGTTTCCAGCCAAGTGGAGCCGAGAGCAGTGTCTGGAATTTTAAAGGGGATAAGAATACCTTGGGGAGGCCTTGTACTGTAGTGTGTATAGGTGTGTGATTTTGAATTGTGTTTTGGAAAATGATTCAAGGCAATGACTCTTGAGTTCTTTACCCAAGGGGGATCAATATTGGATATAAATCATCATCAATCGAGCGACCTTTCCTAAGGATGCAAGAACTTACAAGAATGTACAGACGGGACTAAGATGAATGTCTGTAGTTTAGACAGTGGTTATATTGATGCTGCTATCTATCAATGGTGACCAATCCCTTTAAGAAAGGGAGTCTTGAGGAAGCTCATGTGTAATGGTGGTGGTGACATCATCTGTAAAATGTTTGCTGCTAACTTAATTGGTATCCTGAGATGATTCATAGGTAGTTGAGCGCTCCAAGCAAGAGCTGACTTTTAGTGCTGTGGGATTTAGCAAGGGAATGAGGACAGGAAGCCTGATTTTTCTTGAGATATGGCAGCCAGCACAGATTTGACTCCATCTTCAAGAGAGCCTTCACAGCAAGGCTGAGCTTGTGCAGTCCTGCTTCTATGACACAAGGCATAATGAGTAGTTAGAAATGAAGTTAAAAATTCAGGATGTACAAGAGGCTGCATTTTCAGGAATTTCCATAGATTTCCGGGAATGAAGCAAGCATATTGCGGCTGAGAAGGATAGATCCATGCCTTAGAAGTCTGGGAACAATTACAGTACTCTAGGGTGGACTGAAGAAGAAGACTTCATTAAGCTTGAGAGGAAGTTTCTGGTGAAAGTATGCACAGTGAGGGACTCTGGGGGTTATGATGGGATTGCCTGTTTTATTGGAATTTAGATGGATTTGGATTTTAGGGTGCACTCTATTCATAATGGACTGATATTGGACTTAGGAATAGTTTAAAATGAAAGTAGTGTTGCCTGCAGAAATTAACAAATGTCTGAAAGATGTTGAACCTACTCTAACATTCTGTGTGTTGATCCAATACCTATTTCTTGACTTGTTGAAGGATTGGGCAGGCTTCAGTCTATTGAATAAGTTTCAATAATTGAACGGAGGCAGCAGGGCTGTAATATGTGTGGGATAATAGTCTATCTCCTTTTGTGAGTACTTGAATGAGTGTATTCAATAATATCCTCAGAAGACGAACCCATGAAAGTAATGTAATAACTGTATTCATCTAGAGAAAGTTGCATGCAACTGGCTTTTTCCTGCCAAGGCTGTGTTGCCTCAGATATCCTAAAACAGGTGTATTGTGTCCATTTAGAAATGAGAGTCAAGTGTGGCTATAAGGCTGGTGAAATAGGCACTTAACAGGATTCTTTCTCCAAACCTCTGACTGCAGAGTATATAAATCCATTAGTACTGGATACCGGTTGGCCCTGGCAACAAGGCTGTGGTCCTTCACCCTGAACCTCTGGTCATTCTTTGTAGCTTGAAGAAGAGCCCTGGGACTGTCAAAAGTGTAAACAGTGAGTTATCCTCTTTTCTCTGGACAGTTTTTAAATGATGGGTTTGGAAGCTCTGCTTTGGTTCATACCGAGTCACAATAAGTATTTTAAGCCAGATTAAGAGAAGTCCTTGAGGTTTTCTTGTTAACTTGATTACTAGTGTCAAAGACTTCATGTAATTTCAATGTATTATTCAATAACCACCAGGGTTGCTTTGCAGAAACAAGGACTTTAACTATGTGTAATTAAGGTTACGTGAGGCACACCCATTTCTCCTATTTTATTTTCAGTGGTTCACCTAAGCTCAGAGCAGGATCCCAGGTAGTTTTGGTTGTGAGTCTATTGACTAATCTCAACAAGATGTGCCACTTGGTACGTTTTAGCTGATATTAAAGTTGATTTAGAACACATATTATAAGATATAAAAGGCTGCCTGGATCCTTTAATCTTTTTGTTGTAAAGTCTCTCTCCTTCATCCCTCCTTCTGTTTTTCCCACTAGATAAAATTGGATAGGAGAGAGATTGAGACTCTTCAGAAAAGCTTACATTAATATCTTCAGGACAAGGGCCCACGAAATGGTTGCTGTTTTAAGTTAAGAACTCGACATTAAATTGGGTTAGAATTAAACTTTTGATGGCTTCAGGGGATGCTAGGAGTGTTTCCCCTGAAACCATCAACATCAGGATCTTTTTAGACAAGAGAGGCACAGGCAGCAAGGGTGGCAACATTTTGTGGAGTCCTAGTGAGCTAGTCACTTTAAGGAGTGTGAACTCAGTGTGCTGCGTGGTGACCATCACTTCACACAGTAATGACTTAACAGACCCACATGTTTCATATGTTAAATCAGCATTTTCCCCAGGTCCCTCTGTAGAACAGAGCCTGGTTGGGACACACAACCACAGGCTCCAGGGTGAGAGGTTCCATGGAACGCAATGGCATGTTATGCCTTAGGCTGAAAACAGTCACAAAATTCAAACTAGTATACACAGATAAATCAGAAGATCCCAATCTTGTCTTTGGTCCCCACTTGCCAGCATGTAAGCTACAGAAATGTCAGACTTAGTTTCATTATATCTGGACCCCATAAAGGCTAGGTGAAGCAGCACCAGTTGGCTAGAGAGCCAAGGCAAGAGCAAACAGATCCCATGTGGTTGTTCTCACTAGTCAGATATCCTGTGCCCAGAGCTGACTGAGGGGACTACTGAGGAGGAATGGACCACCACTGTCCAAATAGTTTGGATGTCAAGACTGCGTACAGCATGACTGTACTAAGAGAGGATGAAGAAACTTATTGCTCACATAATGAGGTCCTGGGAGGTAAGGGCAGGCTTCCAAGCAGAACCAGAAATGATTGGAGGATAGAGAAAGTTACCTGGGTTGTGTTTTTATTGTGGCTGGAAGGTAACTATTCTACTATGGGATAGGATTTTCTTTGAACTTCCCTCTTTCATCAACAGAGGGGGCACGGGGCTTTGACACTGGCTTCCAGGTGTGAGGTGGAAATGTAAGGAGGAGGTATGGGCTTGGAAAACTGTCAGTGGGCAATGAAAAAAAATGATAATAGAAACAGACTCAGGGATCTATGCAGTAGAGGAGGCAGGAAGATTGTAAGGAGACAGAGGTGGCAATGAATCCAAGGAAGCAGTGGCTTCCAGACACAACAGGGCTGATGTATGTAAGGACTTACAGAGACTGTGACCACACACATCAAACCAGGCTCAAGCCAGACAAAATCCTAGATGGAGAGGAGGAAGTGGACACAAAGTCCCAGACTTACAAAGAAGCTATTTGCCATTGATACTTACAAGAAAGGGAAAGTCAGTTTTCTTCAGTGGGGTGATGTTCCAGGATAACATCATGTTCAGGAGTAGTAGGCCAATATAAAATGGATTCCATGTTTATTCTGGAGTCTGGAGTTCCTTCCTTCCTTCCTTCCTTCCTTCCTTCCTTCCTTCCTTCCTTCTTTCCTCCTTCCCTTCTTCCCTCCCTCCCTTCCTTCCTTTCTTTTGAGAGAAAGAACATGAAGTTGAATGGGTAGGTAGGTGGGTAGGACCTGGTGGAACTTAGGGTTGGTAAATAATATGATTAAAATATATTGTGTAAAATATTGAAAAATATTTAAAAGGCAGCAATAAGAAAAACATAAACATAAAAAAGAAAAGAAAAAGAAAAGCAATATATTTTTTATCCAAAATCCTATATATGACACAACGGATTATTTTAGTTTTATGGTTATTGACAACTCAAATGTTTTCCATTTCTGTATCTCTTGTATGATTAAATTTTAAAAGAATCATAGACACAATCCCAATTATCCAGAAGAAGATTCCGAAGGGTGTGTTATGCATGACACTAAGACAATAATTTTAAGAAATTAGAAGAATTGAATTGTTTTCCAGGAGAGCACTAGATGGATCTCTCCCTTGCAACCCAGCATAAAAATCATGATGGACCAATCGTTGTAGCATGAATGAATATTTGTCAATAACAGGCATCATGCCCAGATGTTTTTTACTGATATAGATTAGGTAACTTTTAAAGGTCTATTCCTGTATGAAGCCAATGCAGAATTAAAGGACAATGAGAGTCACCTAACGTTAGGGGAGCAACATACTCTTAAAGCTCAATCTTATGAAGAAAATATAGTACTTGCTTCATGCATGAACACAAATGAAAGTCTATTTAAGAAAAAAGCACCAGTAAGCCTAATCTAGTGGAGTGATGAAGAGTAATTGCTCACATGGAGCAGTGTTTACTTTAGAAACAAAAAAATGCTTCAATATAGAAATCTGACAGATTTTCATACCAACAGATTAAAGGAAATACTAAGTCATATGAATAATTATGTAAACTATAGCCAATAAAAACTTAATACCTACTACATATAGAAACTCTGACAGATGAAAATTATTAGAACATTGGAGGCTTATTACCCTAAGTTAATAAAAACAAATTAATTTTTCAGTTAGTTGAGGCAACTTTCATTGGACACATAGACACTTGGGATTATCAATTACAATGCCATGTACCAATTAATCAAAGGTCCTTTCTTTAAGCTGCCATCCCATGTATTCCTTTAGCATTAGACATGCATAGGGTAATGTTATAGGTCACAGCTACTAAATCCTATAAAGCGATCAAGGCCATCTTCATGTGGGAAAATATAGGTGTTTGATCTTTATAGGGAAGCTGAGGTGTGAGAGGTAGTGAACAGTGAAATGGTGGATGTGGGATGGAATGTCAAATTACATATGGGAGAGTGTAGGCGGAGATGATTCTATATGGCTGGCCACCAGACAGGAAGAAGAATCCAAGAAGTATGTAGGTTCCCTAAAAGCTATTCATTTTATAAATTTATTTATTTACTTATATTGTGTTTGTATGTGGGCAACACTTGCAAACAGCAGCATGCATATGTGGAGGCCAGAGGACAATTTGAAGACTCGATTCTCTTCTCTTCCTATATTTGGGTCCTGGAGATTGAACACAGGTTGTCAGGCTTAGCAGCACGCACCTTTTCCTATTATAGAGCCACATGTCTAGACTACATTTTTAGAGGTCTGTTTTAAGAATAATAAAGCTGGGTAGACGATAAAAGGCAATTGCTGCTTTAGGGGTAGATTATTCAGTTAACTCCCTTACAAACAGTAAGGTCACTTTGGCTTAGGGCTTCCTGCTTGACCATTTATTTTTCAAGTTGTTGGATAAACAGTAACCAAAATCAGCTACAGTTTCCTAGTTAATTTCTTTGGCACACTGCTATTTAGATACAATAATAATAATGTGCAAAGAAGGAAGGAAAAGACGAAGAAGATGCAGCATGTGGATGCATAAAGGACTGCATGGGGGCTCAGAAGCTGGATGTGTATGACGCTTTGGCAGATCATCTTAGAATTACCTTATATACTCCTCAAAAAGTGGATGTTCTATTCTATTTTAGACACCCTGATCAAGAATTTTGAGGTGGAGAGAGGACTGGAAATATGAATCTCAGTGTTGTAAGCACAGTTTGTGATACTGGAAGGTAAGAAGCATAACAAATGTGTTTGGATGTTGTTAAAACGTTGAGCATTGAGAAACTGTTCTCTGATGTTCTCGCTCGTGCTTTTCATTCATAGAGATCTATTTTTAACAATAGTCAGGAGTACCCCTGTGTGATGTCTTAGTGCTATTCAACTTATACCGCCATCTAGTGAAATGTTCCTTAAATTACAGCAAGTACTGGGGGCTGTAGGTACTTGGCTGTGCCAGTTTGATCCCATTCTAATAGGTGTTGCCTGAAACACTGAAGCATTAGTGACACTGAAGTATTGGGGTCACTATAGTAGACTGTGGCTGCTCAGTTGACATTTAAGGTTTAGCAGTCACTTTTCTTCCTTGTTGTGTGTTGCACATATCTGTTAGTGGTAACCAGCCCTCTTTTCCTCAGAACACTTAAATATAAACTACAAATAGTTAATAAACTTTTACTTTTAGTGAAACAGAGGTCAAATAATTTATATGAATAATTATTCAATTAAGAATCAGTTTAGAGGCTTGACTTCTGCTTGCTCACTCTAGGATCTCCTGGCCTGAGGACTCAAGGCAAGTTGCCGCTGGCCGACCAAGCCACCACCAGTCTGCTGATATCTTGCTGTGCTACTCCTGTCCCCACTCAGGCAGGTCTACTAGTCCCCAGTGGACCAAGCAACCATGAGTCTGCTGACATCGCTGTGCTTGTCCCTCTCCCACCCACTGGGAAAGGGGGTGCCCCAGACCTGCCTGCACCCACTGTGAGACTCACCAGAGTATTGAACCTGCTGGCACCCACCTGAAGAGACCTTTGGATACGTACCCACCAGGAGGAGAAGAGACTCCACCTGCACCCACTGGAAGAAAGAATGGGAAATCAACAATATATAGTCACACAAGAGAATTAGCAGCACAACTGAAAGTTCCAGAACAAAAAGAAGCAAGCTCACTCCAGAGGAGTACATGCCAGGAAATAATAAAACTGAGGGCTAAAATCAATAAAGTAGAAACCAGGAAAACATTACAAAGAATCAATGAAACCAAAAGTTGGTTATTTGAGAAAATCAACAAGATAGACAAACCTTTGTCCAAACTAGCCAAAAGGCAGAGAGAGAGAGAGAGAGAGAGAGAGAGAGAGAGAGAGAGAGAGAGAGAGAGAGAGAGAGAGAGAGAGAGAGCATGTTAATTAACAAAATCAGAAATGAAGAGGGGGACATAACAACGGACACTGAGGAAATCCAGAGAATCATCAGGTCATGCTTTGAAAACCTGTACTCCACAAAATTAAAAAAAATTTAAAGGAAATGGACAATGATTTGGATAGATATCACTTACCAAAATTACATCAGGAGTAGATAAGCAATCTAAACAGATCTATGGCCCCTAATGAGTAGAAGCACTCATCAAAAGTCTCCCAACCAAAAAAGCCCAGGGCCAGATGGTTATGTGCAGAATTCTACCAGTAATTCAAAGAAGAGCTAATACTAGTACTCCTCAAAATGTTCCACACAATAGAAGCATAAGGAACATCGCCAAACTATTTTTATGAGGGTACAATTACCTTAGTACCCAAACCCCACAAAGACACAACTAAGAAAGAACTACAGACCAGTATCTCTCAGCAAAAATACTCAACAAAATTCTGGTAAATTGAATCCAGGAACACATCAGAAAAATCATCCACCATGATCAAGTAGGCTTCATTCCAGGGATGCAGGGATGGTTCAACATACAAAAATCCATCAATGTAATCCATCATATAAACAAACTGAAAAAGAAAAACCACATGATCATTCTCACTAGATGCTAAAAACCCTCTGACAAAATCCAACACCCCTTCATGATAAAAGTCTTGGAGACATTAGGAATAACAGGAACATACTTAAACATGATAAAAGCAATATTCAGAAAACCAACAGCCAACATCAAACAAAATGGGGAGAAACTCAATGTGATTCTTCTAAAATCAGGAACAAGACAGGGCTGTCCACTCTCTCCACATCTCTTTAATACTGTACTTGAAGTTTTAGCTAGAGCAATAAGACAACAAAAGGAGATCAAGGGAACACAAATTGGAAAGGAAGAAGTCAAACTTTCACTATTTTCACATGATATGATAGCTTACATAAGTGACCTGAAAAACTCTACCAAGGAATTCCTATAGCTGATAAACACCTTCAGCAAAGTGGCAGGATACAAGATTAACTAAAAAATCAGTATTATATACAGACGATAAATGGGCTGAGAAAGAAATCAGAGAAACATCACACTTTACAATAGCCACAAACAACATAAAACATCTTGGGGTAACAGTAAGCAAGCAAGTGAAAGACCTGTATAGCAAGGGCTTTGAGCTTTAAAGAAAGAAATTAAAGAAGGTACCAGAAAATGGAAAGATCTCCCATGCTCTTGGATAGGTAGGATCAACATAATAAAAACGGTAATCTTGTCAAGAGCAAACTACAGATTCAATGCAATCCCCATCAAAATACCAGCACAATTCTTCATAGACCTTGAAAGAAGAACACTCAACTTTATATGGAAAAACAAAAGATCCAGGATAGTCAAAAGAACCCTGTACAATAAAGGAACTTCCAGAGGCATCACCATCCCTGACTTCAAACTCTGTTATAGAGCTATAGTCCTGAAAACAGCTTGGTATTGGCACAAAAGTAGGCAGGTAGACCAATGGAAATGAACTGAATACCCCTATATTAACCCACACACATACGAATACCTGATCTTTGACAAAGAAGTTAAAATTATACTATGGAAGAAAGAAAAGCACCTCCAAGAAATGGTACTGGCATGTAGAAGGCTGCAGATAGATGCATGTCTATTGCCGTGCACAAAACTTAAATCCAAATGGATCAAAGATATCAACATAAATTCCACCACACTGAGCTTCTTAGAAGAGAAATTGGGAAGTATCCTTGAACAAATTGGTGCAGGAGACCAGTTCCTGAATATAACTCCATTAGCATAGACACTGAAATAAACATTTAATAAATGGGACCTCCTGAAATTGAGGTAAGACAAAGGATACAGTCAACAAGACAAAATGTCAGCCCACAGAATGGGAAAAGATATTCACCAACCCCACATCTGACAGAGGGATGATTTCCAAAATTTACAAAGAACTCAAGAAGCTAGTTTCCAAAACACCAAATAATCCAATTAAAAGGTGGTATACAGAACTAAATAGAGAATTCTCAATAGAGGAGTCTAAAATGGCTGAGAGATACTTAAGAAAGTGCTCAACATCCTTAGCCATCAGGGAAATGCAAATCAAAACAACTTTGAGATACCATCTCACTCCTGTCAGAATGGCTAAAATCAAAAACACCAATGACAGTTTGTGCTGAATAGGATGTAGAGAAAGGGGAATACTCTTCCATTGCTGGTGGGTGTGCCAACTCATACAGCCACTTTGGAAATCAGTATGGAGATTCCTCAGGAAAATGGGAATCAGTCTACCACAAGATCTAGCAATTCCACTCTTAGACATATAACCAAAAGATGTACATTCTTACAACAAGAACATCTATTCAACTATGTTCATAGCAGCATTATTTGTAATAGCCGGAACCTGAAAGCAACCTAGATGCCCCTCAACTGAAGAATGGGTAGAGAAAATGTGGTATATTTACACAATGGAGTACTACTCAGCGGAAAAAACAATGGAATCTTTAAATTCGCAGGCAAATGGATGGAACTAGAAGAAACCATCTTGAGTGAGGTAACCTAGTCACAAAAAAGACAAGCATGGTATGTACTCACTCATATATGGATTTTAGACATAGAGCAAAGAATTACCAGCGTACAATCCATATCGCCAGAGAAGCTAGGAAACAAGAGGATCCTAAGAGAGACCTACATGGTGCCCCAGATAAGGGGAAAAGGACAAGATCTCCTGAGCAAATTGGGAGCATGAGGGGGAGAGGAGAGGGAGCTGGGAAAAAGAGAAGGGAGAAGAGGAGGAGAGAGGAGGACATGAGGGAGCAGGAAGATTCAGTCAGGGGAAGAATAGAGGAGAGCAAGAAAAGAGATACCTTAATAGAGGGAGCCATTATAGGTTTAAAGAGAAATGTGGCACTAGGGAAATGTACAAGGATGACCCCAACTAGCAAACTAAGCAATAGTGGAGAGGCTACCTTAAATGCCCTTCCCTGATAATGAGATTGATGACTATCTTATATGCCCATCCTAAAACCTTTATCCAGTAGCTGATGGAAGCAGAAACAGACACCCACAACTAAACACTGAACTGAATTCCTGGTATCCAATTGCAGAGAGGGAGGAGTGATGAGCAAAGGGGTCAAGTCCAGGCTGGAGAAACCCACAGAAACAGCTGACCCGAACAAGGGGAAGCTCATGGACCCCAGACTGATAACTGGGAAAGCAGCATAGAACTTATCCAGATCCCTTGAAAGTGGGTGTCAATGAGGAGGCCACAGCAATCTATGAGGCCTCTGGTAGTAGTACAGAATTTATCCCTAGCATATGAATGGACTTGGGGAGCCCATTCCAATAGGGGATACACTCTCAGTCTAGACACATGGAGGAAGACCTAGGCCCTGCTCCAAATGATATGATAGACGTTGAAGATCCCCCATGGAAGTCCTCACCCTTCTTGGGAAGCAGAAAGGAGATGGAATAGTGGATTAGTGGGGAACAGGGAGGGAGAGGGAACTGGGATTGACATGTAAAACAAGCTTGTTTCTAATTTAAATAAAAAATAAAATAAAAAAGAATTAGTTGAAAGAAAAATTTAAATTTTAAGATGTCAAAAATTTAGAAGGGTACTAACTAAAATTATAATGAAATTGAAACATGAATTAATAGTAACAATTATAATATTAAGTATAATAAACAGAAAAGATTTCATGAAATACACTATATTCCTATAGCCTTTATTTCAAATCCTAAAGTCTTCTGATATATACCAATGATAAGTTGATATTGAACTATTTCTGATCTGTAAATTTTCTTTGGATTATATAGGTGACTTGTAAAATATTTGTATACTTGGCTATAATAGTTATCCTATTTGATATAAAGTAGACCCAGTGAACTCACAATTGTATTCCATTACTCTTTTTTTTTTTTTTTGGTTTTACGAGACAGGGTTTCTCTGTTTTGGAGGCTGTCGGTCCAGCCTGGCCTCGAACTCACAGAGATCCGCCTGACTCTGCCTCCCGAGTGCTGGGATTAAAGGTGTGCGCCACCACCGCCCGGCTCCATTACTCTTACATAATTGCTCACTAAGGTAGTTAGTTGTAAAGCTAAGTTATGAATGATTAAAATACCATGCAACATTTTCCAAAAATCTGTTGGTCTTCCTGGAAGTGCTTTAGTGATGACTTGTGTCAATGCTTGATTGATTTGATTCATATTATAGAAAGTTTTAACCAACAGAAAAATACATGTAAAATATCTCAAGGGCTGTTATCTTCACATACTCTTGATGCAAGGGGTGGTTTCTTCTGCTCTTCTTTCTTTCTTTCTTTCTTTCTTTCTTTCTTTCTTTCTTTCTTCCTTCCTTCCTTCCTTCCTCCCTCCCTCCCTCCTTCCCTCTCTCCCTCCCTCCCCCCTCCCTTCCTCCCTTTTCCCTTCTTTCTTTCTCTCTCTCTCTCTCTCTCTCTCTCTCTCTCTTTCTTTCTTTCTTTCTTTCTTTCTTTCTTTCTTTTTGAGACAGAGTTTTTCTGTATTGTTTTGGAGCTTGTTCTGGAACTTGCTTTATAGCCCAGGCTAGCCTGGAACTCCCAGAGATCTGCCTGGTTCTCCCTCCTGAGTGCTGGAATTAAAGGCGTGAGCCATCAATGCCCAGCTTTGTCTGCTTTTGAAATGAACTCAACCAGATAGTTTGGTTTGGTTTACCGCTGTACTTCTGCAACCTAGAAAGTGCTTTGATCCCATCTCAGTGCTGAG